CCTACTTTTACTCTTCTCAGCGTCTTGTTTGGTTTGTTGGTGTGTAATCAATGAATAAAAGTTAATGACCATAGTATGACATGGTACTCTTTTATTGTACATTCAAAGAAAGAAAAATGTACTCTTTTATTTTACCTTATTTAAGCTTTTCTTTTTTTGAAATCCTTATGTAATGTTTGAAAATGATGTGATATATAATAGAGAATTAATTATTAAATATGTTTAATATAATGTAAATTTTAATTTTATTAAATTTATTATATAATAATTATTAAATATTTGAATATGTTTAATGTTAAGTCAACTTAATTTTTTTTCCTACAATAATAATTAGATTATGTATTTTCTATACTTTAATAGGCAATCCCAGATGAGCTGTGTGGTAAAATAATATTGGCTTCCAACACTCTTTTTCTAAGTAATTTTTATGACTCATTTTTACGTTAATTATAAAATAATTCTTGATTAGCAACCCATCAGATGGGCTTTATGACTCGTTTTTATTTATCTATATGAATTGTTTCAAACTCAATGGCACTGGAAGCAAGGCTCCGCATCAAAATATTAACCAAGTCCTCCATGTCAGCACAGAATCAAGACAGTCCAGATGGCCACTTCTTAGTTGTCGATCTTTTTAATATGAATTATATAATTTATATGTCCATGATGAACTAACTCCCTTTTTCTTTTTCTTTTTTTTTTTTGTCTTTTTTTGAAAATTCTTTTATATATTGAGTTAATTAGACTTTTTCTTTCAATTAAGTAAAAGTTAAATTTTAAGTTTTATATAAATGAAAATATGTATTAGAATATTTAGAAAGAACCATAATTTTTTTGACTAATAATTAAAATATTAAGTATTTATTAATTTTAATTAAATCAATATTAAAATTTTAAAAAAAAAGGTGAAACTTGATCTGTATCCTAACTTTTATTACTCTGACTAGTTTTTTTTTTCTTTGACAAGAGAACAATGGTTAAAAATTAGTATCTGTTCAGTAAGTGGGGAGATTCTGAACTCTACTTGCTCCTCATAGAGGAACGTTGTCCAACTAGTGAGCCACATGAGGGAGTTCTACTTTGATTGGTTTTTTTTATTTTAATAGATGAACCCAATTCAAAATTTTAATTTTTGATTTCTAAAAATTTGATTTTTTTAATATGGTTGATTCAATTAACAAATCTCTTTTAATCTTTTTAAGTAAAAAAATATTTTATCATTAATCAAAATGAAACATTTCCATTAATTAAATTTTTAATTGAATTAATCAAACCAAAAAAATTTATTTGAATATTGAGTAATTTGAAATTGAACAAAATAAGTTTGCCTCTAATGATATGAACAAGGTATTGAGAAAAATGCATAGAGAGTTTTGATTATTATTTTTTATTTTAATAGTAATTTATTTAACTAATATATATTAATAAAAATTTAATATTAAATTTTAATTACATAAAATATAGATATCAACTTGTATCATAAAAAATTAAACTAAAAACACCTCAAAATTATGCTGTTTTAATAGGCTTATTTAAAATAATAAAAATTTAATATTATATTTTAATTACAAAAAAATATAGATATCAACTTGTATCATAAAAAATTAAACTAAAAACACCTCAAAATTATGCTGTTTTAATAGGCTTATTTAAAAAACTAAAA